TCCTGGAAATGGGGTAATAAAGAGATACAACAGTTGTCCACTCCATTCCACTTTTTCATGCCTGAGGACGTGCAAACACTATTTCCAAATTTCTGCCTCCTAATATGGTTCAGTTACCACCTGTAAAAATGTAAATGCACTTGTCTGTCTTCCCAGTGTGAGGCAACTAAATGTCATGACCAGATACTGTATCCAGAAGCAATGACACAGACCCTCTGTTATCCTTGTCAAGATTGTTTTTTCATATATATCCAGTCCTTCTCCCCTTTGGTCCCAAAGAGTTCCAGATGTAGCTCCTTGTAATTCTGCTTCCCAGAACTTAGTTTTACTACCCCCGTACTCACAAAATACTTTTTCCCAAATTCCATTTAGAAAAGAAAGTAGGGAAAATATTATCTCTTGGCCAATAGTCTAAAGCATGAAGCATACCCTAAGTGATAAGACTAGATAATTTAATGAGTGTCCTTTGTTTACTAAATTTGGGGCAGTGTAGTGAGCTCCTTGGTCAGGCAATATGGTCTGCTTGCTGGAAGAATTTCCCTTGTTTTCAGAGAACAGTGTAAAGGAATACCCAGTGGGAGAGCAGGCTGTCACTTTAGAAGCCTATTCCTGTCAGTGTTGGAACCAAAGAATTTAAATTCGTGAAGGCAAGGACCTTGTTTTTGTTTTCAGCTATCTCCCTGCCACCTAGAACTGCAACTGGCACACAGTAGGCACTCAAAAAATATTTGTAGAATGACTAACACTTGGTTCAGTGGCCTACCTTAGGGACTGAGCAAATATAGGCCCTGTTGCCAAGTTTTGGATTTTCGTGGTGATACGACTCCTTTAAAACCTTGGCTGGCTGACTGTCAGTTTCCTCTTTGTTGACTCTGTACTAATACATTTACCTATTCCAGAAACCTTGTCAAGTCATAGTCTTTGAATACTAAATCTGTTAAAGAGAACTGCCAAGCCTGGGACTACTTAACAGTGGCTTGGCATGGTCTCGGGGTGGTGAGGCCGAGGCTCTGAGATGTACGCACACACCCCACCAGCAAATGCACATCTGTCTAGTGGAGGTGCTAGGGAGTGGCCTTGGGATCGAGATATTCCTAATTTCTCTGGCTTCCCTTAAATACCCCTATTCCAATAGCCAGTGAACCACAATTTATAAAATAGGAATTCAGTTGTAGAAAAAGCAGGGAATATGGCTGTAAGATTCTCAATTATTTGAATCTATGGACAGAACGGGTTTCCTACATGTCCTGTTGTTTCCTATCAACTTTTAAGGCAGTTATCTGGAATTACAGTGTGTCTTTCTTTCATAACAACTTATTAAATGTCTCAAAGAATAGCCAACGCACTTTAATTTCTTGACATTTTGCCACTAAACTCCACCTTTTGGAGGCGAATGGTTGGTGTCTCAAGAGATGACAGATGATGTTGCACAAGACCTGCCAGCTTCCCCATCCAGTCTAGGGGTTCATCAAGCCTTTGCCCTACTTTCTCTCAGCCAGTCGTATATTTTGGGGTCTGCAATTTGCAAATTCTCACTCTGTTTGCTAATTTTCGGATAGTTAAGACTCTTTTGGTTGGGAGTATCAGAAACCAAGTCTAGCAAGTTAATCAATAACAACCTAATTTATTGACAGGACAGAATCCAAGGACAGGAATGTGACTGATATTCAGTGAAGCAGGAATTTAAACATTAGGAATATTTCCTCTTTTGTTTCTCCTACAGATATGCTTGCTTCACTTTTCTTTCTCTTCAGACCAGCTTCCTGTTTTTCCAACAGATCCAAGTTTTACATATTCTAGGGCCAAACACCATGTTACAAGCCCATTTTTCAAGTTCTCACCAAAAACTTTGGTGTTCTCTTAACTACTACTCTCTCTCACAGCTGGACCATCAGGAAATCCTGTTTGTCTTCCCTTCAACTTATATCCATTATTAAACCACTTCTCACCACCAACCCCTACCATACCCCTGACAGGCAACCATCATCTCTTGCCTAGATCACTACAATAATTTAACTAGTCTTTCTGCCTTTTTATTTTTTTATTTTTTTTATTGTCTGTTACTCCTTTATTAGTCAAAAACGTCTCTGATGTTTTTACTCGGGATTTCTAACTTCCCAATATCCTACAAACAGAATTTTTGTTTTGAGTGCAGAGATCCCTTCTATATGATTTTCATACTATAGTAGCTTTAGTTAGGTAGCTTTAAATCAAAGAGTTCTTAATAATTTAAAAATTTACAGATGAATTCAAACTTTCTCAAATTTTTCTCATTAAAAACTATGTAAATTTTACAGGATTTTTTTTTTTTTAATGGTGACATTGGATAACGAAATCCAGTAAGTTTCAGCCAAACATTTTAACTGTAAGGCATATATATATTTACATTGCGTGTTCACCTCCCATAGTTATGGTCTTTCTGCTTTTACCTTTGACCTTCTGCTGTCTGCTCTTAACACAGCAGCCAAATGGTCCTGTCAAGAGCATGTCACTTCTATGCTGAAAACTGCCCCAATATGTCTCTTTTTATTCAGGCTAAGAGGCAAAGGCCTTATGAGCCATACCTGGTCGGGCCTCCACCCCATTATCTCTATGACTTTGTTTTCACTGCTCATCCCATGTTCACTCTTCACTGCTCACCTTGCTGTTCCTCTAGTTTCCTAGTCTTGCTGCTCTCAGCTCCTCTGCTCTGCTTTGAATGCTTTTCCCCTAGACACCTGCATGGCTCACTCCCTTACTTCTTTTGGATCCTCAAGTCACCTCGATGGATCCTTTCTTGGTCAAGTCACCATCACCCCCACCCCCACTGACACTTCCTATCTTCTTTCCCTTCTGAATGTTTTTCTCTGGAGTATTTATCACTATCTGGTATCCTTAGGATTTACTTATTTCATTTATTGTCCCCGAGAACTACAATGTTCATCTTTTGTGCACTGATATATCCCTAGACCTGCAATAGTCATTGCCTCGTACTCAAGAAATTTTTTCTGAGTGAATCAATATATACCAGGAAAAGTCTGATCTCTCTTTTCTTCCCCAAAACAAAATACCTGGAGACAGCAAAGAATTGCTGGCAGCCCCAGGGAACGACAAGGAGCATGGAAAAAGAGGGAACACTAGAGCGACTTGA